GTCTTTTATACAGGTAACGAGCTGAGATTAGGAGCACACTCTTAAAGGGAGTGCTCCTAATCTCAGCTTGTTACCTGTATAAAAGACACCTGTCCACAGAAGCAATCAATCAATCAGATTCCAAACTCTCCACCATGGCCAAGACCAAAGAGCTCTCCAAGGATGTCAGGGACAAGATTGTAGACCTACACAAGGCTGGAATGGGCTACAAGACCATCGCCAAGCAGCTTGGTGAGAAGGTGACAACAGTTGGTGCGATTATTCGCAAATGGAAGAAAAACAAAAGAACTGTCAATCTCCCTCGGCTTGGGGCTCCATGCAAGATCTCACCTCGTGGAGTTGCAATGATCATGAGAACGGTGAGGAATCAGCCCAGAACTACACGGGAGGATCTTGTCAATGATCTCAAGGCAGCTGGGACCATAGTCACCAAGAAAACAATTGGTAACACACTATGCCGTGAAGGACTGAAATCCTGCAGCGCCCGCAAGGTTCCCCTGCTCAAGAAAGCAGGGGAACCTTGCGGGCCGTCTGAAGTTTGCCAATGAACATCTGAATGATTCAGAGGAGAACTGGGTGAAAGTGTTATGGTCAGATGAGACCAAAATCGAGCTCTTTGGCATCAACTCAACTCGCTGTGTTTGGAGGAGGAGGAATGCTGCCTATGACCCCAAGAACACCATCCCCACCGTCAAACATGGAGGTGGAAACAGTATGCTTTGGGGGTGTTTTTCTGCTAAGGGGACAAGACAACTTCACCGCATCAAAGGGACGATGGACAGGGCCTTGTACCGTCAAATCTTGGGTGAGAACCTCCTTCCCTCAGCCAGGGCATTGGAAATGGGTTGTGGATGGGTATTCCAGCATGACAATGACCCAAAACGTACGGCCAAGGCAACAAAGGAGTGGCTCAAGAAGAAGCACATTAAGGTCCTGGAGTGGCCTAGTCAGTCTGCAGACCTTAATCCCATAGAAAATCTGTGGAGGGAACTGAATTTTCGAGTTGCCAAACGTCAGCCTCAAAATCTTAATGACTTGGAGAAGATCTGCAAAGAGGAGTGAGACCAAATCCCTCCTGAGATGTGTGCAAACCTGGTGGCCAACTACAAGAAACGTACAGTGGGCAAACGTACAAAATCAGCAGGGGATCAAATACTTTTTTCCCTCACTGTATATAGCGAGTGTGCACACTCTGGTATTGGCATGTGCGCTCTAGCCAACAGCGCTATCAACCGAGGCAGGTCCAATACTTAATTCATTTGTTATTTGTCAAACAGCAGCCAAGCATCGATTATAATGTCACCAGAATAAGACCCTCAATATTTATTGGAAAGGAGCATCAAGCTCATCACCTTGCACTTTCACCACCCTTTGAAGTTCATTATAATTGATTTAATCTGTAACCTAATAAACTGTATGCTTTCCCGATGAGTCATAGTGGGAGGACCACACAACATGTCATCGCGTGACTCCAAGTTTACTTCGATATGATGGTTATTATATAAATATTTATGCATAAAAGCGTTTAAACCTACATTTTTCGCATAATTCATTTTACTGTCACAAAAAGATCCCATCTTGCCTAGCGTATTTAATTTTGTCGACATTTGTAAAGTTTCCATCAGGCCTGTCATGACATATACTTTACTTGCATAACAAGGTTGGATGGAAACCTGGTTAGTGACATGTCCATGCAGGGGAAGATCCTTAGTACTGTAAATAGATAAGGGAGACAGTTGTATAATTGGAATTTTGTTGCATAAGATGTTAATAAAGGAAAAAAAGAGGCAGAAGCTATCTGATATAAAAAGCAAAGGAGATTCAAATTGAATTTCGCTCTGCTTCAGTTTATGGCACACATAAACCATAACATGCGTTCTTCAGGGGAATTCTATTATGTGCCTAAGAAGACCTGCATGTGGGTATCCATTCTGTTGGAGAATATGCTGCTAGTAGTTAGACTAATCTTCCCCGAGCCACAGACCATGGTTACTCAACTACACCGCTTCTAACAGAGTCAGCATGTTCTGGGCAACACGGAATAACAAGAGTAAATGTCTGGCGGCTGCTGAGCAGAGAGAGAAGAATGCTTGTCTTGCCTTTGTTCTGTCTCAGGGAAAAGCTTGGCATGCACATCTCCACACACAGAGCCGTAGTGTTTCACTTGGACCTGTAGTGGTTCTCGGTCCAAAACACACAGCAGCAGCCTGCCTGCTCTGGATTTATCGACCCAGTGCGCTGTAGCCGCATGAAGGAAGCCAGCTCATTAGTCAGTTCTTAGCTGCATCCCAAATGGCACCCATAGGGCTCTGGTCATTTTTCTTTCACTATATAGGGAATAGGGCTCCCATTTTGCAGACACAGCTCTCTCCAGGCCCAACTCAGGGAGACGCTGTTTTCTTGTGGTTCCTCTCACTCTCTTATCCCCAGACTTTTTGCCAAGCCACGGTTGTGACTTGTTTTGACTTGTGCTCGTTGAGTGTAATACAAAACCCACATTGATCTAAAACCCTAAATGTGACAATGTATAATGTGGTAATGACAGCCAAGGCTTAAATGCCCATAGAAGACTGAATTGCAAGCTATTTAAGTTTACAAATGTTATGTGGGGTGATAAATATGAGCCAGTGGTGGTTAATGAACTGAAAGCCGAGACCTCATGAATCCAGGTACTGTGTGGCCTCTTTAAAGGTGGATTGGCTGTCCTGGCAACAGAAGCTGTGCCAACATTTGGCCCACATCCAGCCAGAGCTTTTCCTGTGAAGCTGTTGAAAAACATGACCCATTTTTCCCAGAACAGGCCATGGACAACTGAACTGTTCTTATATTCTTGCCACACATTCACAATGAGGGTTCTTTGCTTTTTAAATGTATTTCTTTATCATACCTGGCTGTTTCTGATTTTGATAGACAAACAGGTTTGATAGGTAGGTTTGAAACAGGAAATGTATACATGTATAGCACTTTCACAAAATATTGATTACACAAGACTTTTATGTTTTATGGATCTAGCAGATTGATAGTCCATAAATCGTGACCTTTTGACGGTAATTGTTGCAGTCGTTAATTGACACTGTGTGTTATGTGTAGCAGAAAACAAGAATCGATATAGATATGACCTCATCTTGACCCCATAAAGAGGCTGAGTCAGAGTTTTTCTTTACTCAGTCCAGTAAATATGTCCCCTGGGACGGCTGCCATCTTGCTTCCTGTGGACCAGAGAGGGAGTGTGGATTAAGGGCATCTGATTACGGCAGTGAGGTTTGACTGAGGTGATGCCCGCTGTAAAGGAACATTGGCACTGACAGACAGAGGCTGTCCTGACGACACGCTGTCTGTTGCACTACACTGGCTTTGCTCCTGTTCTCTGCTCTCAAATTCACTTGAGAGTGGAGTGATTCTACAAAGGTCCAATCCCCTGTGATGGATTTACTGCAATAAGCTTTTTGATCATGGGTCAATGTGGAAAGAGTATTATACTGAAATGCTAAGCTGAAAAAATAGCACTGTTATTTTCAGTACTGTACTGTACAGTATAATATAATAATAATAATAATAATGATAATAATAATAATATATGCAATTTAGCGGACGCTTTTATCCAAAGCGACTTAGTCAGATTAATTAGATTAATTAATGACTAATTATTACACCCTGAAACTGTGTATAATGTGTTAGAAATGTGTGAGTGTAGGACCAGTAAAGGCTATGGCATTGAGCCACTATTTAGCAATGTGAGTAAGAGTTAGGCCAGACAACAAAGACAACTGAGAAACTAAGATAAAGAGGCTTCCCAATTTAGGGAGGGGAGAAACTGTTATGAAAACATGGTGCAGAATATTGTGAGAATGGCAATAACTGAGTAAAGCAGGGAGTAGGATATGTGAGTGTGTGTGTGTATGTATGTGTGTATGCATGTGTGTATATGTGTGTGTGTGTGTGAACTGAAGGTCAGTAGAGCAGTTTTAGAGTGGAAAACTACAGCCCGCCTACAGAGGGAAGGGATTTCTTTTTGTATGACGTATGAGTATAAAAGATGGACTCTGAAATTGTGATGGCAGAATTCTCAATGAATAAATATCTCTGACTATGCAGACCGGGACTCTGGCCGTTACTTAAATCCCAAAAGACTTACAACCTTTTGGGAGACGCACAGAGACACTAAAATAGTTTGTTAAATAATTCACATAACAGTCATGCATGCATACATTTTACGTATGGGTGGTCACAGGAATCAAACCCACTATCCTGGTGTTGCAAGCACAATGCTCTACCAACTGAGCTACATAGTCTGCCTTTCCCCCTGGATAAATACAATGTGCATCTTTGCATTCACCATAACGAAATTACCTCTAGACCTTTTGTAGAAGTCATGTGACTGCACGGGATCCCTGTTTGTTAGTTTAGCTGATTATAAAGAGTGCATACTGTTGAACGCCGACCGTTGCGGAGTACTACGAGAAAGCAGTTATACCAGAATTGGTCTGGTGCGGGTGGCTAGTTCTTGTGGCTCTGTGAGTCCAGTCAGTGTGGCCAGCGTCACAGAGCCGTGGGTCTGCCTGTAGTATGCCTGTAAGCCCAGGGCTCATTAGCACAATGCCGTGTCATAGCCTAGGGATTAGCTTGTGATTAAACACTAACCTCAATAACTCCCTCCTCATTTCCCCCATCCAAAGCCCAAATCAAACTTGTGGCATATACAATCACAGCATTATTCCCCCTGCTCTGTCTCTGCCCCTCCACCTCACTTTTCAAGCTTACTACTACAGTACTAGCCCGCCTTGCGGGTAGAGCCGAGGGGGGAGACAGGCTGTGTGTGTGCATGTGATATAGTACACTGTCAATGCAGAGAGCCACTCCCCCCTGGCTGTAACGTGTCGGCGGACACTCTGAAATTCCAGCCAACCGTGCCCTAGCTCGAGCCAACGCCCTGGCTACATGTTTAGTGGAAGGTGTCGTCAGGATCGCAGGGAGGGACACTCACAGAGAGGTTTTGTTCCATGGGATTTCAGGTCAGGTGACACTATGGGTGAATAATTCATTACGGCCCGTTTCAGCTCTTTCCCTACAAAGCCACACACACACACACACACAACCCCCCTATTGAGATCGTAGTCTATCTAAAGGGCTCGATTGATTATGGATTCAGTTGTGCCTCCGCTGACATAACAATCTGGGAGAGGATAACGGGAAGATAAACGGCTGATTGTGTAGCAGTATGATGTCTATCCTAGTGTGCAGGAATAGAATGTCTTGATGTTAATACAGTAGAGTGAAGGCAGACTGAAGTGGCGTGTCTCTCAGCCTCGGTTGTGCAGGGGCTGTGTGTTGCCTGCCACAGGGGTGCTGGAACATCTGCTTTGGGCCCATTAGTAAGACACACAATGTTTCAGTGGCAAGCTAAAGCATTCAGCGCACGTGGGACCATCCCTCTTATGTAATAAATCCATGGACACACAGCTGGGCTGGGCTGGCTGCACAGCCTGATAGTCCATCTGTCTACTGGTGCAGAGGGTTGGAGTGTTCATAACAACAACAACACGAGTTCCCACTTCATCTGATTAGAGTAGTGTGGAAATCCCTCATGAGTTGTGAGGAAACTAAGGATGGGCATGGTTAATCAAATATCTAGAGATCCGAATGGAGGTTAATATTCGATTACTTGAGTGAGTGTTTATTTTTGGAGGCCTATTGTAACAATGAAAAAGCTTTGTCTAAATTAAATTATCCTTGTGACATTTTTACCTACAAGGATATATCATGACATTTGAAATTCTTAATTTAATAAAACAAATCATTTTTTAATGTACCTGCAGTTCTTATAACGGTGCGTTGAGCTACTGCTGCACATTTAGCCATCAAAGGCTGCCCTGACATCAGTATATTATTTCCCCCACTTGAAATAACAATTACTGGTGCTCACCTAACGGAGTTTCCACAATACCTGACATAGATCAATGCAAAACTCTCACCAGAAAATGTTTTTGTAACAGAATCAGTTCTATCATGGTGAAAAACAGACTTCTCTTTAGCTGTTGTTGCTGTTAGCCAAACTACCGGAGAAAAGCAACATGTTGGCTGTTTACCTCCGGCATGGACATTTGCGTCGTTCTGATTGGTCAAATTAATAGTGGTATTTTAAAACAAAAACAAAACATAGAATTTAGACTATCCTGATGCCTCATGATATTATTCAAATAGTCAAATTATTTCAAATGCCCATCCCTAGAGGAAACAATTCCACTCTTCCTTTTTGTTTCATTTCCCATGTGCTGCCTGTCTTTATCTGATATGTTAATGTGAGGATAAGACATGAGCGATGTTCGGCATATAGCCTCCAGTACAGCATGTACAAAACCTGTTATACTTAATGGAGTGTCATTTTTTCCAAGTTCGTGTCTGAATTCAGGAAATAAACTGAATGACTCTTGTCCCAGTGCAATAATTCAGAAGGTGTTAATAATGTGCATTGAAAGAGGTGTTTTTGCTATTGGAGATTCATGGAAGCTCTTGCTGTGTGTTGCAGCTGTTACGAGAACTGAAACACCCCAACGTGATCGCCCTGCAGAAAGTGTTCCTGTCTCACAGTGACAGAAAGGTGTGGCTCCTCTTTGACTATGCTGAGCATGACCTCTGGGTAAGTGTTTCATCACAACTGCCAGTCAGAAGACCAGTCTTTGGTTTTTGTTTGGATGTTTCATCAACCTGCTCTTTTAGTTGTTTCATCTTTGTTCTTGACGTTTTCCTGTCTGTAAAGAACCGAGTATGTTACATGATGTACTGGTATGTATGTATGTTGTGGAAACTAGCTGTTTGAGTCCCTTGCTTGATCAGTTTCTCAATGCCACTCCCTCTGGTCTCCTTTAAGCACATCATCAAGTTCCACCGTGCCTCCAAGGCCAATAAGAAGCCTATGCAGCTGCCGAGAGGCATGGTCAAGTCTCTCCTGTATCAGATTCTGGACGGGATCCATTACCTTCATGCCAACTGGGTGCTTCACAGGGATCTGGTGAGTCGATTGTAGTTTCAGTGTCCCTTTACAATGTTGCTACACATGCTCACTGACACCTCATCCACTGATCTGTCCTTTTCCTATTGGTCACTGATCTGAACTGCTTTTAACCAACAGGGTGCATGCAAATAAGTCACTTGTTTGCATATCTAGAAGCAGCAACGAGTGGTGTTCACTGCAAAAAGGATCATTAAAGCAACCCTCTTGCCAGCTAACTGAATCCTGTGTTGTCTGGCACAGGTGCTGTTATATCCTTGTACAGTTTATTATTATGATTCTAAGGCCCTTGGCTGTGGAGCAAAGTGTCTTGGCTTGGTGAATGTTGTCAATTCTGCCCCCCTACCCTCACCACCGCCACCACCCAGCCTGTACTCTAGTACCCCTGTGAGACTTTCTCCCCCACACTGTTCCCACAGTGTTTTCCTGGAAAGCCGGACTGTTCACCTGACTCTGCTGGGCTCATTGTAGCGGAAGGTCAGCCCTGGGCCCAGTTGGAACGAGGTCACAGGGTTGTTCTCTCTCTTTCTCGCACATTCTCTTATCTGGCTGTGGAAACCTCCTCTCCTCACGGCCCCTCTCAACACCGGACCTCTCTCTCTCATCTCTTTCTGCAGTTTCTTTGAGAAAGAAGCTTTTATTTTGCTTGAGAAGCTTTTTTTTTGTCTTCTGATTGTCCGAAACTCAACTGATTATGGTGCAACTTGGTCTTTCCATGATATGGGCTATATTACAGTGGCACAACACATTGGGCTGGGAATTTCCAGGGACCTCACGATACAATATTATCACGATACTTAGGTGCCAATACGATATTTATTGTGATTCTCACGATTCTCACAATTTTATATGTATTTGTATTTGTATTTTTGTATTTATTATGGATCCCCAAGGCAGCAGCTACTCTTCCTTGGGTCTAGCAAAATTAAGGCGGTTCATACAATTTTTAAAAACATTACAATACATTCACAGATTTCACAACACACTGTGTGCCCTCATGCCCCTACTCCACCACTACCACATATCTACAGTACAAAAATCCATGTGTACGTGTGTGTATAGTGCGTATGTTATTGTGTGTGTGTGTATGCATGTGTCTGCGCCTATGTTTGTATTGCTTCACAGTCTCCGCTGTTCCATAAGGTGTTTTTTTAAATCTTTTTTTGTTTAGTTTTTTTTAAATCTAATTTTGTGCGCCAATAGCTCAAACAGACAGCTCGGTGCACCCAACATGTCAACACAAGTAGTGATGAAGTCAATCTCTCCTCCACTTTGAGCCAGGAGAGATCGACATGCATATTAGTAATATTAGCTCTCTGTGTACATCCAAGGGCCAGCCGTGCTGCCCTGTTCTGAGCCAATTGCAATTTTCCTAAGTTTTTTGTGGCACCTGGCCACATGACTGAACAGTAGTCCAGGTGTGACAAAACTAGGGCCTGTAGGACCTGCCTTGTTGATAGTGCTGTTAAGAAGGTAGAGCAGCGCTTTATTATGGACATACTTCTCCCCATCTTAGCTACAGTTGTATCAATATGTTTTGACCATGACAGTTTACAATCCAGGGTTACTCCAAGCAGTTTAGTCACCTCCACTTGCTCAATTTCCACATTATTTATTACAAGATTTAGTTGAGGTTTAGGTTTTAGTGAATGATTGGTACCAAATACAATGCTTTTAGTTTTTGAAATATTTAGGACTAACTTATTCCTTGCCACCCACTCTGAAACTAACTGCAACTCTTTGTTAAGTGTTGCAGTCATTTCAGTCGCTGTAGTAGCTGACATGTATAGTGTTGAGTCATCCGCATACATAGACACTCTGGCTTTACACAAAGCCAGTGGCATGTCGTTAGTAAAGATATACTTTTTTTTGGAGAGGCTTCCATTAAAAGAACACCCTCTGTGTTCTATTAGACAGGTAACTCTGTATCCACAATATAGCAGGTGGAGTAAAGCCATAACACATACGTTTATTCCAGCAGCAGACTGTGATCGATAATGTCAAAAGCTGCACTGAAGTCTAACAAAACAGCCCCCACAATCTTTTTTATCATCAATTTCTCTTAGCCAATCATCAGTCATTTGTGTAAGTGCTGTGCTTGTTGAATGTCCTTCTCTATAAGCATGCTGTGATGGGTGATTTGAAGGAGTCATGCGCAGGAGGGTAAATCACAGAATAACAGGATTTATTCCGGAATACAGAGTTACGCAGTAAAGCGTCAAAACAGTCCAGTGCGCCTGAACCAACAAGGCACACAGGGAAATAACCCGGCGATACAAAATACAAGGAGCTCAACCGAGCTTCACTATCCTCACAATAAACAATCACACACAAAGACAAGGGGGCAGAGGGAACACTTATACAGGTACTGATGAGGGGATATGAACCAGGTGTGTGTAATAAACAAGACAAAACAAATGGAATGATGAGATGAGGAGCGGCAGTGGCTAGAAGGCCGGTGACGACGAACGCCGAAGCCTGCCCGAACCAGGAGAGGAGGCAGCATCGGAGGAAGTCATACAGTGCCCCCCCCCCCCCCACTTTGAACGGCCCTTTCAAACTCAGCTTCCGGCAGGACAGGCGAAGGGGCAGATTCCGGGTCGAGAGCCAGACCCGATCACCCGGTACAAAAACCGGGACATCACTGCAGTGGCGGTCAGCGTTGGCCTTCTGACGACACACAGCGTCGTGGTTTCCATCGTGGTTGCACCAACGGAAACACCTAGACACCTACCCTGACACTCTCGCGACCACCCCGTGAAAACCCTCTGTGGCCATGAAAAGGTGGGGTTGTGGAGTGCTAACCAGGGAAGACCTAACACAACAGGGAAATCAGGAGACTCAATAATAAAAAAAAGTGACTTGCACTCGATGAGTCTCGTGCGTAACCATAGTGACTGGTGCTGTAACCTCCCTAACGAACCCGGACCTTAATGGTCGACTGTCAAGTGCTCTGATGGGGAGTGGAATGGATAGGGGAACCAATATAATGCCTAGACTATGTGAAAATGACCTCTCCATAAAGTTCCCAGCTTCTCCTGAATCGACCAGCGCCTTACACTGGGGAGCTACAATGTAATCAGGAAAGTGGATGGGTAGGGTACTGTGCGCAGCAGAGGGCTCTGAACGAGTGTGGGTGTTCGATACCTGGGGTGAAGCATGCTGTGATGGGTGATTTGAAGGAGTCAGGCGCAGGAGGGTAAATCACAGAATAACAGGATTTATTCCGGAATACATACAGTGGGGAAAAAAAGTATTTAGTCAGCCACCAATTGTGCATGTTCTCCCACTTAAAAAGATGAGAGAGGCCTGTAATTTTCATCATAGGTACACGTCAACTATGACAGACAAACTGAGGATTTTTTTTCCAGAAAATCACATTGTAGGATTTTTTATGAATTTATTTGCAAATTATGATGGAAAATAAGCATTTGGTCACCTAAAACAAGCAAGATTTCTGGCTCTCACAGACCTGTAACTTCTTCTTTAAGAGGCTCCTCTGTCCTCCACTCATTACCTGTATTAATGGCACCTGTTTGAACTTGTTATCAGTATAAAAGAGACCTGTCCACAACCTCAAACAGTCACACTCCAAACTCCACTATGGCCAAGACCAAAGAGCTGTCAAAGGACACCAGAAACAAAATTGTAGACCTGCACCAGGCTGGGAAGACTGAATCTGCAATAGGTAAGCAGCTTGGTTTGAAGAAATCAACTGTGGGAGCAATTATTAGGAAATGGAAGACATACAAGACCACTGATAATCTCCCTCGATCTGGGGCTCCACGCAAGATCTCACCCCGTGGGGTCAAAATGATCACAAGAACGGTGAGCAAAAATCCCAGAACCACACGGGGGGACCTAGTGAATGAACTGCAGAGAGCTGGGACCAAAGTAACTGTCAGAAGAACCGATGTGGATGTGGTGGAGGAGTCAGGCGCAGGACACAGAGGATTCGTCCAAAATACTTTACTAGTCCAAAGTGCAACAAAACAATACACGACCTCGAAAACAAACGGAGGCGCGGGAATTACGCAAACATGCGTAAAACAATAAACAAAACTAACAGAGCGCAAACACGCAGCTCCGCACGACAGGCAAACAACAACACACAATCTAACCAATACAAAACAGGGAACTTAATGGACACATAATCAGAACACAAACAGATACAGGTGTACAAGACAGACCAAAGCAATCACACCACGAAACATACAACGGTGGCAGCTAGTACTCCGGGGACGGCGAACGCCGAAGCCTGCCCGAACCAGGAGGAGGAGCAGTCTCGGCCGAAACCGTGACAGTAACAAAGCCTACCATCAGTAACATTTTTTACATTTACATTTTAGTCATTTAGCAGACGCTCTTATCCAGAGCGATTTACATGAGCAATTAGGGTTAAGTGCCTTGCTTAAGGGCACATCGACAGATTTTTCACCTAGTCGGCTCGGGGATTAGAACCAGCGACCTTTCGGTTACTGGCACAACGCTCTTACCCACTAAGCTAACACACTACGCCGCCAGGGACTCAAATCCTGCAGTGCCAGACGTGTCCCCCTGCTTAAGCCAGTACATGTCCAGGCCCGTCTGAAGTTTGCTAGAGTGCATTTGGATGATCCAGAAGAGGATTGGGAGAATGTCATATGATCAGATGAAACCAAAATAGAACTTTTTGGTAAAAACTCAACTCGTCGTGTTTGGAGGACAAAGAATGCTGAGTTGCATCCAAAGAACACCATACCTACTGTGAAGCATGGGGGTGGAAACATCATGCTTTGGGGCTGTTTTTCTGCAAAGGGACCAGGACGACTGATCCGTGTAAAGGAAAGAATGAATGGGGCCATGTATCGTGAGATTTTGAGTGAAAACCTCCTTCCATCAGCAAGGGCATTGAAGATGAAACGTGGCTGGGTCTTTCAGCATGACAATGATCCCAAACACACCGCCTGGGCAACGAAGGAGTGGCTTCGTAAGAAGCATTTCAAGGTCCTGGAGTGGCCTAGCCAGTCTCCAGATCTCAACCCCATAGAAAATCTTTGGAGGGAGTTGAAAGTCCATGTTGCCCAGCGACAGCCCCAAAACATCACTGCTCTAGAGGAGATCTGCATGGAGGAATGGGCCAAAATACCAGCAACAGTGTGTGAAAACCTTGTGAAGACTTACAGAAAACGTTTGACCTGTGTCATTGCCAACAAAGGGTATATAACAAAGTATTGAGAAACTTTTGTTATTGACCAAATACTTATTTTCCACCATAATTTGCAAATAAATTCATAAAAAATCCTACAATGTGATTTTCTGGAATGTATTTTCTCATTTTGTCTGTCATAGTTGACGTGTACCTATGATGAAAATTACAGGCCTCTCTCATCTTTTTAAGTGGGAGAACTTGCACAATTGGTGGCTAACTAAACGGATGGAGCATTCATCAACCAGTACGGCATCACCAGGTATTCGTAATGCCCCGTGGTTGTGCTGAATGCTGTCTTCCATTCGTCCCCCTCTCAGACACGCACTCCAGAGAATAACTATAACGTATTGTCCCCTTGTTCAATGCTCGGTAATCAGTGGTATTCGGGGGGGATGCGCACGGTGGTGGAAGTGTCTGAACTTTCCACCGTGATTGCACCAACGGAAACACCTAGACACATACCCTGAGGTGGGGTTGTGTAGTGCAAACCAGGGAAGACCCAACACAACAGGGAAATCGGGGGACAAAATAATACAAAATGTGACGTGCTCTCTATGGGTCCTTTGGGTAACCATCGTGACTGGTGCTGTAACATCCCTACAATTTTTCAATTCCACATCAATCCACAGGGATTTAACAGTTTTTACAGTCATTTTCTTAATGGGTGCATACTTATTAGTAACTGGAATAAGCAATTTCATAAATGTGTCAAGTGCAGTGTGTGTTTGCTCCTCATTACACACCACGGACCAACATATATTCTTTACATCAACAACATAGGAATCACTGCAAAACTTATTGTATGATCTCTTATACACAATATTAGGCTCAGCCTTTGGAACTTTGGTTTTCCTAGATATGGCTACTATATTGTGATCACTACATCCAATGGATTTGGATACTGCTTTCAAACAAATCTCTGCAGCATTAGTAAAGATATGATCAATACATGTATTGCAATTCGATACTCTGATTTTATTGCCATTCGATGTTCCAGACATATTGTTCACCAAATATCTGCTACAGAAGGACAACAGAGAGCCATGAGAATGAGTTTTGATCAGTCATGGAAATAAAAGTGCTGAAAACAAATTGGCTCCCTATTTACAAAGAAGATGGAGAACAAGCAATACCTTTACCAAAATACTGGAGTTTTGGTGCAGATACAGCCAACTAGCGCAAAAAATATATTGCGGGCATCCCGAGTGGCGCAGCGGTCACTACAGACCCGGGTTTGATCCCAGGCTGTTTCACAGCTGGCCGTGATCGGGGGACCCATGAGGCGGCGCACAATTGGCCCAGCATCGTCTGGGTTAGGGGAGGGTTTGGTCGGCCGGGATTTCCTTGTCCCATCGCGCTCTAGCGACTCCTTGTGGCGGGCCGGGCGCCTGCAAACTGACTTCGGTCGCCAGCTGGACAGTGTTTCCTCCGACACATTGGTGCGGCTGGCTTCCGGTTTAAGCGAGCAGTGTGTCAAGAAGCAGTGCGGCTTGGCAGGGTCGTGTTTCGGAGGACGCATGGCTCTCGACCTTTGCCTCTCCCGAGTCCGTAGGGGAGTTGCAGCGATGGGACAAGACTGTAACTACCAATTGGATATCATGAAATTGGGGAGAAAAAGGGGTAAAAGTACAAAAATTTAAAAGAGAAATATTGCGATATTGTCAAAACGATACGATATATCGTAAAAAATAATATCCCGATATGTAACTGTATTGATTTTTACCCCATCACTAATAATACTATATAACAGAGGCATAACACTTACCAACTAGCTTATGGATAGACAATAGTTTGTGTCATGCCAGCCAGTGTGAAGTCAGTTGCTATTAGCAGACACCAGCTGTGTCATTATATTGACATTCTTCAAGCAGTAAACACAGGGGATGATTGCAATGAGTAGAAGACTTGCAAAGATATGTTCCTGATAACACACTCGTCAAAGAGGGACAGGTTTTTTAAAACATATAAAAATACACCTTATGGAACAGCGAGGACTGTGAAGAGTCAAACAGAAACACACACATACAAACATACATAACATACACTCTACACACACACGTACACCTGGATTGTGTGTGGTAGTAGAGTAGTGGCCTGAGGGCACACACTTAATGTGTTGTGAAATCTGTTGTAAAATGTATTTTAATGTTTAAAAATGTTATTATAATGTATATTACTGCCTTAATTTTTGCTGGACCACAGGAAGAGTAGCTGCTGCCATAACAAATACAAATAATAAATACAAATGTCCATGGGTGGATGAATGGGTAGTAGAGAATCTAATCTATTCTAACTCATTGGTGCCCAGATGTTTGGTGTTTACTCCCAGCACACTAATTGAGTCAGCACACTCCAGAGCATAAGTCAGTCAGTTGATGTGACTTCCGTTCCGTCACTGGAGACTAAGGCAGAGTAGAATGAATCTGCAAGTCCCACAGCTCCAGGGTTCTTATCAGGCCTTCATCAGGCCATCCCCTCTCGTGTAATCTCTCTCAGCTCTCCCAGATGGCAGCATGGTGCGATGAGGACCAACGCTAACTCCCATTATATAAATACACTGAGATCTATCAGTCAGGTCCTCATTCTTACTAACTGGGCCTATACCACAACAGCCTGGGTGGAGTAATACAGAGATGAAGACATACTACTGCACTGCCATGCCATTGATGGTCCCTTGTTCAATATGTGTCCCTTGTAGGGGTTATTTTGGAGGTGAAATCCGAGTTGATTGATAACTTTGTGAGGATAGTGGATCACGTTGTCGTTGATGTTGGTGATTGCTGAGCAGTTTATGACATGGTATTAATTGTTGAGAGTGTGTCATCAATTACGGATTTCTATAATTCTGCTTAGAGAGTCTATAGGATTAAGCAGGTCTTTAATGCCTGGTCAATAGATGTGGTTAATGAATCACCCAGGATACAACAGAAGGCGCAATGGTCTTGTGTTTTTGATTGAATGTGTCTGACCTCAACACTAATAGCGGCATAAGGTATGTCCTGCCGTAGCTGCCTTCCTGTTGCACAAGCAAGCCTTTTATCTAAGCAGAGGCCAGGGCCTCTGTCAGTACCACTGTACATGGTCAGCACATAGCTAGCTACTGCTGGAATTAAAACACACTCCCACAGTAGCTAGCGTTGTTTTTCATGTTGGAGGTCAGACTCTCCCTTATCTGAACACCAATTCTTCCGGCTCTTAATAACTATTTTCTTTGCCGCATGGTGAATTTCTCTGTTGTCGCTTTCTCTGTGTCTGATTCCAGATAAAGGTTGATGTTTTGCAGTTTAGTGTGTTTTCTCAAAGCAAGCACTTCCTGCTATTGTGGAAATTCCACTCTCAAGCTGGTGGTGTTCGGAATTGGGATACGTGGGTATGTGTAGTCTGTTTTGCACAGGGAGTTTGTTGGCCATTCCATTGTGAAATTGTCCTGAATATGAAAGAGTCAACTCCCTTTCTCTACCACTTTATAGCCGTGTACCTCAGATTTTGCTACTCATTGGAAAATGCCACATTCCACCCCATCTGGACATGGGACAGTTTTTTATACATTTGTACTCCCCAGTCATGTTGGGGGAGGTGTGTTAGAGTTAGGCTAAAGGGTGTGTAATGCAAACAGCATTCCTAATCTCCTGGGGGGCTATTTACTCCAGCGACTCAGTGCTTTATAAACAACCACAGTGGTAGAGTAACTGCATGTCTTTCATGGCTCCCTCCACCACTCTGTCTATTATGCAACACTCAACCTTGTGCTGCGGCTGTGCACTGCACCGCTGCAGAGAAACCAGCCTCCCCTCCCTACTGTATCCCTCCTTAGTCTCCAGCAAGCCAGGCAGCCCCGCCCCATCCTCAGTCTCCAGCGAGCCAGGCAGCCCCTCCTCCTGCCATGTTATGTAACCCACACCAGCCACCAACCAGCAGCCAGCACAGTTAGATCCCAGATCGCAGGTCCCACTCCCCCCCTGGGTGACTGTTTGGCTTCCTCCCCCACCACGCTGACTGCAGATGTACTCCAAGCCTAGGTTGTTCACTTGAATACTGCAATAATTCCAATCTTTGCCAGGAACAAATGTCTGAGGTCGGAAATTCCTTAAAGAAAGTAAATATGTCCAGTCTGTTAGATTTCAGCTGCAGCATATAGATAGGTTGCTCTCTCTCACCTGCCTGCCTATGGTGGGTCGTTGTCATGATGGATTACTAAGGACATGCCCTTATCTCTGACGTAATGGAATATTGTTCACAGCTGGAGTAATCCCTGGCTACCCGCAGTCACATGCCACGTGCGCCACTAGGAAATGTCTATGAAAATAGCATCCTCACCAACTGTTCTTTATCTGAGTATGTATGTGCCCTCCCTAGGTCTATATCCAGTGTGCAGTGGGCTGTGGCAGGCCTGCACTGCTATAGCATGGTTCTGACAGTAGAGTGGTTAATGCCTGTGCGCCGACAAAAAACGCGTCATTACTTAATCTGAAAAAAGAGAGAAAAGCAAGGACAAAGCCGCTGAATTAATAATGGCACTGTTGTATGGTTCCCAGTACATGTAAAGATAGTGTTAGCCTCTGGCCCTTCCTGGCCTGAAAACACGGCTATTTTTGACTCGACGGGGGTATGTTTTTATGTCCATGGAGGGCTTAGGGCAGTGTTTCCCAAACACGGTCCTCGGGACATACTTTTTTTCCCCTAGCACTACACAGCTGATTCAAATAATCAATTAATCATCAAGCTTTGAATCAGCTGTGTAGTGTTAGGGCAAAAACCAAAACCTGCACCCCTGGCTTAGGGATATCTGTTTACCACTCCTGACCCACTGCACAAAGCCTCCTAACTTTCCTGGGAAGCTAAGCACATGTTAGAGTCCATAAAATGCTAACTTTTGTAGAAAAACTATATCAGACAGCAACATTACAACCTAATTTACATGCTCATTTTACTTTTTAATTGCCCATTCATCCAGTTTCTGTTTTATGTGAGTGTTTTCACAGTTATTGTTTACCTGTATGGAAATATGATCTCTTTGAACATTGGGCCAATGAAAATGAATGTCTTGAATCCATTAGCCCAGTTTAGAATTTCAAGAGGAGCCAGTGCCAGTCATTGGGCTTGGAAAGAGACCCTCCTCATGTGAGTCATCATAGTGTTTGCCGATAGCAGTGTTTTGTTGTGTGTTTGAATAGTAGAGCTCATTATAAGTGGCATCCCTATTGCAAACCCTGTTTGAACCTGTTTGTTGAGTAGATTGAATCCTATGAGATTTAAGATTCACACAGATTCAGTGGACTAACAGACAATGGAAGGATTTGGAGTGGAGATCAAGTTTATAAATTGCCTGGCAGGGCTGATGAGACAGTGGATTGCACAGTCCGATGGAACAGAGTAAATAGGCATTTTAACGTCATAGATTTAGCTGGTGGTAACTTGTGGAATAGACACCTGTCTATGGCTTTAATGTGCAGTATGGATAATAGATGAAGCAGAGCTATTACATTCCATGTCTAAGCTGCACTTTCACTGATTCCCAACATGGAGACCCTTTTTCTTTGGGCATAAATCTTTGGATAAAGTGAAAGTGAAAAACAGTGGTGGTTATGTGCTGGACACACCATGGCAAACTGTGTTCTTTGATTGAAATATAATGCAAATTTGTTCTCTGCAAGATTAGTTATTGGACTGTCTGGCTTAGATTAATATTTGTTCTGTTTCTCCATGTGTCCGGGTTTAATTGGCTAGGTGGTTCTGGTGTCATGCAGTAAACCACAGAGAGCTATACCGGGCATCATAATATCATGCCTAACCAAAGCCCTAAAACACAGACTCCGTATGAGAACATTATTGTGTGGTTGGAAGCAATGTCCCAAAGGCACAGGCATGATTCACCACCATGGTAGACCTTGATATCAACGATCAGTACAATCATTGACGGAACAATCATTCACAGTAGAAGTTTTATAATAGTTTGACCTCTTTTTTGTCTTTGGCAGTATGGAGGTTAATAGCGTGACTCATTTTCCATTTGGCATGCTCTGCCTCTGTTATTTGTATGTTACACTGATATTGCCAAAACCTCCCCCTAAAAGACATTGGACATGCATGGCATTTTTGTCTATTTAAGCAATAAGGCCCAAGGAGGTGTGGTATATGGCCAATATACCATGACTAAGAGCTGTTCTTATGCACGACGCAACACTAAGTGCCTGGATACAGCCCTTAGCCATGGTATATTGGCCATATACCACAAACCCCTGAGATGCCTTATTGCTATTATAAACTGGTTACCAACGCAATTAGAGTAGTAAAAATACATGTTTTGTCATACCCGTGGTATTGGCTTTCAGCCAATCAGCATTCAGGGCTTGAACCACCCAGTTTATAATGTCGGATATACCACAGCTTTCAGCCAATCAGCATCCAGGAGCCAAACTACCCAGTTTATAATACAGTGCCTTGCAAAAGTATTCATCCCCCTTGGCGCTTTTCCTATTTTGTTGCTTTACAACCTGTAATTTAAATGGATTTTTATTTGGATTTCATGTAATGGACATACACAAAATAGTCAAAATTGGTGAAGTGAAATGAAAAAAATTACTTGTTTGAAAAAACTATACAAAATAAATAACGGAAAGGTGATGCGTGCATATGTATTCACCCCCTTTGCTATGAATCCCCTAAATAAGATCTGGTGCAACCAATTAGTCACATAATTAGAAGTCACATAATTAGTCCAGCTGTGTGCAATCTAAGTGTCACATGATCTCAATATATATACACCTGTTCTGAAAGGCCCCAGAGTCTGCAACACCACTAAGCAAGGGGCACCACCAAGCAAGTGGCACCATGAAGACCAAGGAGCTCTCCAAACAGGTCAGGGACAAAGTTGTGGAGAAGTACAGATCAGGGTTGGGTTATAAAAAAATATCAGAAACTTTGAACATCCCACGGAGCACCATTAAATCCATAATAAAAAAATGGAAAGAATATGGCACCACAACAAACCTGCCAAGAGAGGGCCACCCACCAAAACTCACAGACCAGGCAAGGAGGGCATTAAACAGAGAGGCAACAAAGAGACCAAAGATAACCCTGAAGGAGCTGCAAAGCTCCACAGTGGAGATTTGAGTATCTGTCCATAGGACCACTTTAAGCCGTACACTCCACAGAGCTGGGCTTTACGGAAGAGTGGCCAGAAAAAAAGCCATTGCTTAAAGAAAAAAATAAGCTAACACGTTTGGTGTTCGCCAAAAGATAAGTGGGAGACTCCCCAAACATATGGAAGAAGGTACTCTGGTCAGATGAGACTAAAATTTTGCTTTTTGGCTATCAAGGAAAACGCTATGTCTGCCGCAAACCCAACACCTCTTATCCCCCCGAGAACACCATCCCCACAGTGAAGCATGGTGGTGGCAGCATCATGCTGTGGTGGTGTTTTTCATCGGCAGGGACTGGGAAACTGGTCAGAATTGAAGGAATGATGGATGGCGCTAAATACAGGGAAAGTCTTGAGGGAAACCTGTTTCAGTCTTCCAGAGATTTGAGACTGGGAC